GTGTGACAAACTACCCCCAAACAACCTTAAACAATGATAGTCTATTGTCTATATTTTGATCACAAAACTGCCATCTGGGCAGGGCTAATGGGACTGCCTGTGTGTCCTCTGAGGCCTCAACGGGCCTGGCTTGCAGGCTGGGGGTCTGCATGGCTGCCCACCTGGTGCCGGCTGTGGGCTGAGAGCAGCCCCTCCACAAGGGCTTCTCCAGAGCTGCTTGGGCTTCCTCACAGAAGGGCAGGTGGGTTTCCAGAGACGGGGAAGCTGCCAGTCTCGAAGGCCTGGGCCTGCAACTGGCAGTGTCCCTTCTGCCACATTATTAGCTTAGCAGCCCCGGAGCCTGGCAAGATTCAAGAGGCAGAAAGAGAGTTTATAATCATCTTCAAGCCACACCTTCCCACTGAGGAAAAAGAGCATTTAGCTTCCATTTCACCAACTGCATTCCCTATCTTCCAGGCCTCCTGATAGAGTTCTACAGTAAACTAGATCCTGACTCGGCATTTCTATCGTGACGACTGTGTAAACACTATTGCCGGATCGTAAACTGGGACTAGCTACCTTTTCTTGCTTGCACTGCTGTTTTCTCTGAAGCCAATAATCGTCTTATCTTCACATGTGGATCATTCTGTACGTACTACGAATCCAACCCGCGGCTCTATGCCAAGCACTTCAGTGTTCTCTCAGGCTCTATCTGGGGAATTCGGCTTTCTATCCATGTTGCTGTACTGCTGCCCTGGGCGTGACGTCCCGAGACGGGCTGCCAGGCACCACCCTGGGGCTGAACTGCTCCCTCGCCACTGTCCCGAGCACTTGCTCCACTGCAGCTTGGAGGACCCTGGGTCCTGTCACCACGGTTTCCTCTCTGTGGCTTCTGCCCTCATTTCTGCCCATCTTTCCTGAGAAAGAAGGTGAGGGACATTTATCTGTTGAGAGCTCACCCGTCTGCAGTGTTTTTACTCCAGTGGCACCGAAATGTGTCTCCATGGCGGCAATCAGTGTGCCCCCAAGGGCCCTTATTTTGCTCTCTAGGAACTTTTTAGAACCTCCTCTCCTTTCACGATGGCTCTCGCACCTCCATGAAGGTGTCCACTATCTTTTTCTACAGCTTTCTTTTTCCTCCACGGTCTGTGTTCCCCACGGAGCTTGTTTCTTGTTTGTTTCAGGAAGTTTTCCTCCATGAAGGGCAATGCCTGGCTGTGCATGGATAGGCATGAGCGGGGTGACTGGAAGCTCCAAGTATACTAAGGGGCTTGCAGACTGAGATGCTCTGGAGGGTGGCCTGGCTGGGTCCCTGGGTTGAGGGATCTCTGAGGTCGGGTTGTCTCCTGCTGGGATGGAGAGAGAACTGACAGCTTCACCAGTCCCTGGTCATGCAATGAGATTAGATGGAGTCTTCTCATTTCTGGTCTGGAAGGGGAGGGCCTGGACGCGAGGGCTAGTCTCAGCACCCCTTATGCACTTAGCCACACATCCCCTGAACAGGCCTGGTCCTGGCCCAGAGACCCTTCGTTTTGCCTCTGTCGGAGATGGCTCTCCAGGACCCGCTGGTAAGATGTCAGGACAGGTGTTGGCCTCTGCAGACCATGGTGGAATCTAGGGAGCTGCCTGCCTACTGAATATATTGTTTGCAACAGTGATTCCAGCCATCCCTCTCCACCCCAGCCCAGAGGTCCCCGGTGCTGCTCAGTCCCAGAGCTGGGGGTCCTGTGGTGTAGGCTAGGGCAGTTCCAACTGTCGCTGCTGCTGGCTTTGGAGTCGCCTTTCGCAGGTCAGTGATGCCTGGGACACTCACTCATCCTCTGCTTTCCAGGATCCAAAAGTGCTGTTTGCTCCTCTGCTCTCACCCGCCATGCAGTATGGATTGGGTTTAAAATCCTCCCTTTCTTGCCTCTTTGTGGACTTGGAGAAGGGAGTGACAGCAGGAGCGTGCTACTCTGCACTCTCCATCCAGAGCCTGTAGTAATGACTTGCAGCCAGCTAAGTGGGCCCAGGTCACCAGGGCCACCCCTGGCTCCTCTCACAGGTGCAGCAAGTGTACCCTGCTCTCTCCATACCTGGCCAGGCTCCAACTGCCCTGGCCTGTTCCCAGCTCTCCTTCTAAGGCCCAACTCAATCCACTTACTCCCAGGTCTTTCTGGGACCTCCTGGTCCATTCTGGCTAGAAGGGACCTTCTCTCCCCAGCCGGAAGGAGTTCTATGCCGGGCAGGTCACAGCTGCACATCCCATCCTGCCTGCCCTCCCACAAGGCACTGCTGGGCAGGCCCGGCTCCTTCATCCATGCGGCTCTCCTCCTTCCCACCCTGGCCCTGCACACCCAGTGTTCTACTGACCAGCTGCAGGCACAGCAGATCCTCACAGGCCTTGTTCTCTGAACACCCCGCAGTGGCCTTGAGAGGCTCTTGTCCCACACAGGAGTCCAAGCTGTCGCTTCGGCTGCATGCGCTCACCACGGGCCCTCCTTGCTGCACTGTCAGGCCACACACAACTCTAGAGAAAGCCCATCCCCACCTGTGACTTTCGCAGCCTGTCCCCGCGAGGCCTCTCTGGACGCCTGCACTGTCCCCTCAGCCCTTTCTCCTGGCACCTGGACCATCACAGCCCCTCCTGCCTGGCCTCCCACTTCCTGACTCGTGGCGGCGCTGCTGGGTGGTGGAGTCACTGCAGTGGCCTCCGGTGCTGCCTCTGCACAGGCCTTGCCTCCTCTGGCGCCCCCTTCCCAAGCTTCATGCCCATCCCCTCCCTTCTGCGGCCTGACATCCTCCTCAGGGGCCCGGAGGCCGCCACCCCAGGCTGCCTGATCCCAGTTCTTTCCTGAGGTCCTTCCTAACAGGAACTGGGGAGGCGTCAGTTTCTCTCCAGGAGGGTGGCTTCAGTTCCTTCCCCAGGCCGGGCCACCGCCTGCGTCATCTTCCCCTGGGTCCAGGGAGCCGGCACTGACCCTTCAGGGTGGAGAACACATTCACGGGCCTCTGAGCGTCGCCAGCCCCTGGTCATGGGATGAGGTTGGTGGTGTCTACCTCTCCCTCCCTCCCCCACGGTGTCTCCTTGAGGAAAAGACAGAGTCTCGCTCTGTGCCCTGGGCCCTGGCCGGCAGGTGCTGTGGGACAGCCCAGGGAATGGCCAAGTCCTCCTGCAAACGAGGGTCGGTGCCTGGTCACTCTTTTTGTTGAGTCCTTTTAGCGAGGGGCCATATAAGAGGTTGGGCCCCCAGTGGACCCATGGAGAGCCATCCCGTGAATATGCAGCACTGAATTGAGTCAACCACGTTCCTTAAAGGAGTGAACACAGACGCGGGGCTCAGCATGACTGACGTGGGGAGAAGGCTGGGCCGTCTTCTCTGAGCTCTGGGTAGGGTGTGGGTGGGGGCGGCCTGGGCCTGACCCAGGCCCTGGTTGGGCACAAAACTGCCATGTCACTGTAGGCAGAGACCTGAACTGACTCTCGTGGATACGATTTCCACTTCCCCAGATGGGGTGGGGTGGGCTGGGCTGGGGCTGCCATGGCTTCCACGGCTCCAGGGACCTGCCATGCTCTGGGGCCAGCAGGGAAGGCGAGGCTGTCTGAAGAACCTTTGAGCCCAGCATCTTCTTCCCAAACAAGTCCAGGCAGCAGGAACCCCCTTGTTCACCCCCCTGGCTACTCCTCACTGGGGCCTGGGGGCGCTGGGGCACAGGGACAGGTGTCCGTCCAGGTCTGTGCTGCCTGTGAGGGAATAGCTCCCAGGCTTCATGGGAGGCCCTGGGGGACAGGGTCAGCCTGGCCTGAGAGGCTCAGAGAGGAACTTGGCCACTGCTCCTCAGAGGGTGGGCAGCGTAGAGGGGAGGGGAAGGGGCTGGGATGTCTCCTGTTTGGGGCTCTCACAGTCAGGCTGCCTGGGGCAGGGCAGCACCCCACAGCCTTCTACACCCCAGCACCAAACCCCCAGACGCTCACTTGTCTGTCCCTGCAGATACTTGGCTCCAGGAGAAGGTTCTGGGGGCAGGAACAGATGGGGTGACCGTGGCCTCTGGGACATCTCGGGGGTGGCAGGACGCACAGACTGAAGGCTGCCTGAGGTGGCTGAGCTCTGGAGGAGGGAAAGGCTCCGAGGGCAGGTGCGGGGACGTCTTTGGTCGCCTCCCACAGCCAGCCCCATCTGACGGTGGCAGAACAAAGGCAGCCGTGCCCAGTCACCGTCGTTCAGGTGCTGCGAGGCACTCTGACAAGGGACCCGATTGAGTGTTTCTTTGAAGAAAATTCACTGTAACCAGATCAAATGAGCTTGTTAATCCAGACACCCCAGGACATGGTGCGGGGGAGCAGAGGCCGTGCTCACCGCGGCTTTCATCCTAGTTTCTGGCAGCTCTCGGGGAAGCCAAGCCACGGAGCTTCCCCCATGGAGGGGGAAGGAGTGCAGGCTGGGGTCGGGCTGGCTGGGGAAGGGACTGCCCAGTGGCCGGCCAGCTCTCCCGGGGACCCGAGGCAGGTGGGATCCGTGGGTACTCGGGACACTGGGTGGGCAATGGGGCCAGGCTGTGTCACCAGGAGCCGGTTTCCCCTCCTGGTTGGGAACCCATTTGAGGGCCCTCCTCCCCTTCACCAGGCCCAGGCCAGCTTCTCTGTCCAGCCTCCCTTAGTGCTGCCAGGGCACCAACTCACACCAGAGCCGGGCACAGGGCCTCACAGAGTGCTGCTTGAGGAACTGCGGGGAGACGGTGTTGCAGGACCCATGACCCCCACCAGGCCCTGCAGCGCTGGTGCAGGAGGAAGTGGGGGCAGGGTGACGGGGGTGCTCTCAGCACTAATTCCTGCATACTAATTACATTTTTAATCAGGCAGAATGAGACTCCGGCATCAATCTGCCAGGCAGCCAGCTCTGGATCGTGCTGGAACTGACAGGAAGGTTCCGGGCGGTGACATCGGCTCAGCAGTGAGGTGTGGAGCCTGAGCTGTGTCCCTTGCCCTGGGTGCAAGGGGCATTCCACTGCCCAGGCTTCCCAGAGGTGCCCCACACACCAGATGGCACTCCACACTTGATTTTATTCTGTGACACTGATTTGCAGAAACCCCCCATTTCCTGGGCAGAGGAGGGCAGTAGGGCCCAGAAAAAAGGGGGGCCGGCCTCCCAGGAGGACTGGGGCCCGCTCTGCTGGGGTCACTGCTGACCAGGCCTCAGCCTTCCTTCCAGCCCCACCCTCTCCCCTGCAGTTTGTTTAAAAGTTGAGCTGTAAAAATTAAATAAAAGTAAAAACAAACCCCTGAGTTGTTAAAAACCAAATTAAAAATCCCCCTCTGTGTCAACAGGTCCTGTTCCTAAAGCCAGTGTGGCAGGACAGGCAGGTGGGGCAGGCGGCTGGCAGAGCTCAGCTGGTGCTTGAGTCCTCGGGCTCACCATCAGACTCCTCCTCCTCCTCCTCCTTCTCAGGGCCCAGGTGGCCGTGGGTGTCCGGCCGCTTCAGGATGGCGCTGTACTTGAGGGCTGTGGACTCTGCCCGCAGGACCACCTCCACCAGGCTGAAGATGGTGATGACCTGTGCAGAGCCCGGCCGTGAGGGGACAAGGACGGCAGGGCCTGATGTTGAGGCGCAGCTCCGCCTCCATCCCTGCAGCAGGACCCTAGGCCCCTCCTTTGGCCTCTGGAAGCCTCTGCTTGCCTGTCTGGAATGGGGGTCCCCTCCAGGAAGAACGCTCTGGGTCAGCGCAGAGCTGGGGAGTCAGATGCATCCTGAGCACTCCCAAGGCTTATGAAACACAACCTGGGGGCCCGGGTCCACCTTCAGGGCACATTGTTGGTGAAAATGGTTCCAGAAAATTTCTTGCTTGTAAATTCATAGCTTTTATCAGGTTCTTAAAAGGACCCCAGAAGGCCAGCAGCCCTGCATTGGAGGGACAGGCAGAGCCCCGCCTCTCTCTCCACTGTGGTTGCCCCCAAGGAAGGGAAGGTGGTGCCAGAAAGCAGGACCCTCAAGAGGGGTCTGGGTAAGCCAGGAGGGCCTGCAGGCCCTGAACCCCACCGGGAGGCTGCAGTGCTGGGGGAGCCCAGGGGACACAGATGAGGGAATGAGGGGCACCACAGGAGGCAGGAGAGGGGTCATCAGGACTTGGGGAGCTGGGACACAGAGGGGTTCTGACCTGCTGTGCTGGCTCCTGCTCCATGTCCTCAGGCTCCCAGACCAGCGTGAGCTCCGGCTTCTTTCCCACCTTCTGGAAGTGGTGGGACCGCAGGGCCAGTGCCTGGAGTGCAAACACCAAGCCTCAGGCTTCAGCTCTGGGTGCTGCTGCCTGGCCTTCCACCCTGGAGGGCTTCAATGCTTGGAGGCGGCCCTCAGTCCTCGGGCCTGGCCCACCCCTGCCTGGCTGAAGGGAGCTTCAGGGAGGCCCTGCCAGGCCACCTGTGGCTGAGGCAGCAGGTGAGAGTGACCAAGGGCCAGGGGTGGGGACTGGGAAGGCCCGTGGCTCTGCGTGCTATTGTGGGCAAGTGGTGGGGGCGTCCAGGGCTGACTGCACTGAGGTGGGGACAGAGAACTGTGGCGGCAGAGCACTGCGCCCCCTGCTGGTGCCATCTGTCAGTGCAGGCAGGGCTGGGCCCACTGCAGGGTGACCTAGGCTTGAACTTCAGGACACAGAGTCCCGAGGGTCCGCAGGGGGACTCTGTCCTTCCTCTTCTGCCCAGCTCCAGGTTAGGAACACCACGTTTACTGCACACAACGGGCTGGACACTGTACTCCCAGGGCACTCTGGATGTTAGGAAATTCAAAGCCAGGCACAGGGGCCAGGTGGTGACCTGCAGACCCCAGGGCCAGCTGGAGCCAAGCCCCTAAGGTGGCGTTAGGACAGGCCCACGTCCCCTTGGAGAGAACTGTGAATCAACAGTCGCTCAGGGCAGGAGCCAAGCCAGGGACAGCTCTCTTTCTTGTCTTCAGGGGACAGTTTCCAGAGCGGCCAAGGACCATTCTCTGGCCTCTCATTCCTTCACATTCCTATAAACACGGTCCCCAAAGCCTGCACACCCTGCCGAGCTGTACTAGCCATGGAGGGGCCTGATCTCTGGTTCCTGGGTCCTTGGGGAAGGGGGCCAGGACTGACCCTGGACCTGGAGCCAGCATCCCAGGCAGGAGAGCTGGGTGTCTCTGCAAGGTCCATCAGGTGGGCTTTGTGCTAGGGCTGGGGGAGCGGGGGGTGGAGTGTGACCCATCACAGCCTGTACCCCTCCAGTGTGGGATGGCTTGGGCTGCCCCGCCCGCCCCTGGGCTCTCCCAGGGCACTCACGTTGCAGTAGATGCGCTTCTGCACGCCGTAGCGCAGCACCAGCACGTCAAAGGCTTGGTTCAGGACGCCCATCACCATGGCTTCTGACTCCAGGGGGCCACTCTCCTGCAGGGACAGTGCTGCAGCCATGGCACCTCCTGGCACTGCCCTGGGCTTCTTGAGGCCTCCTGGTGAGTAGGTGCCCAGGAGGGTCGGGAGCCAGAGGGAGGTGAGGGGCACCAGGCTGGAGGGCTCACCTTGACCAGAACGGCAAAGAAGAGACCGGTGCTGAGCTCCTGCACGCGCTTGGACGCCATGCGGCGGTCATTGCAGTGGTCCGCCTGCTTCTGCAGGGTATCGGGCGCCATGTCTAGTTGCTCCCTATAGCCTGGGAAGAGGGGGCAGGGTGGTGGGCGGTGCTGTATGGGGGAGTAGGCAAGGCATGAGGGTGGGAGCCTGGGGGGCTGGGAAGAGCTATGGTTGGGGGATGGGCTGCATGCACCCCCGGCAACAGATTAGGACCCCAGCACCCAGCTCCCAGGGCAGCAGAAAGTGGCCCTCTGAGGTCAGCGCCCTCCTCCTGGCCGTGTCCAGGGCTGGCTGTGGGCCCCAAGCAGCTTCTGCGGCACCGGCCCGTAGGGAGTTTCCAGATCAGGCTCCCCTGTGCTTGGGTTGCCCGACCCTTGGACCTCCGCGGTCACGGCAGAGTGGTCTTGGGCCACCGAGCACCCGCTGTGAGGATGGGCAGCCCTGAGCTGGCCCAGGTCTGCCCTGGCCCCAATCACATCCCTCACCTAGCGCAGCAGCCAGGAGGCGGTGCACCAGGACATCGGCAAAGCGGCGGATGGGCGAGGTGAAGTGTGTGTACAGGGGCACGTTGAGCGCGTAGTGCCGGAACTGCGCCGGGTCCTGCAGCAGCCCCGAGCAGAAGTACAGTGCCATCTGCGGGACAGGATGGGTCAGAGCCTGGCCAGGCCAGCTGCCCGGCCAGGCGCAGAGGGCCGGCACCACCCACAGCCTCACTGTTGGCAGCGGTGTGTGCACAGACCTGATGGGCTGCTGGCTGCTGAGTGAAGCCAGGGAGGACTGGGGCCACGGCCCTTGCTGCACAAGGGGACCCAAGGGGAGACCAGGAGGCTGGGCAGAGCCCATGGGTGCCCAAGTCCTTTTCAGGAGACAAATCTGGCCTACCTGGGCCTCCCAGATGCCCTCAAGGTGGCAGCACTGAGAATGGGCTGGACAGGTCCACCCTGCTGAGGACCAGAGAGCCAGGAACCCCCAGGACGCTGTCAGGTTAGGGGGCATGAGCTGAGCCTCCCAAGTCCAGTCCCTGCTGAGTTACTGCTGAGCACCACCAGGAGGGAAGAGTCTCTGGCCTACCCTTCCCCAGCATGGGGCTGGGGCGGCTACCATCGCCAGGAAGAAGGAAGAAGAAGAAAGAAAGGTAAGGGAGGAGGAAGAGGTGGTGGCATCGAAGTACGAGGAGGCGGCGATGGTGGAGGAGAAGGAGGAAGAGGAGGAGGAGGATGTGGTGGTGGCAGAGGAAGAGAAGGAGGTGGTGGTGGTGGAGGAGGAGGAGGAGGCGGCGACGGTGGAGGAGGAAGAGGAGGAAGTGGCGGTGGAGGTAGATGATGAGGAGGAGGAGGCGACGGTGGAGGAGGAAGAGGAGGAAGTGGTGGTGGAGGTGGATGATGATGAGGAGGAGGAGGAGGAAGAGGAGGAAGTGGTGGTGGAGGTGGATGATGAGGAGGAGGAGGAGGAGGAAGAGGAGGAAGTGGTGGTGGAGGTGGATGAGGAGGAGGAGAAGGAGGAGGAAGAGGAGGAAGTGGTGGTGGAGGTGGATGAGGAGGAGGAGGAGGAGGAGGAGGAGGAGGAAGTGGTGGTGGAGGTGGATGATGATGAGGAGGAGGAGGAGGAGGAAGAGGAGGAAGTGGTGGTGGAGGTGGATGAGGAGGAGGAGGAGGAGGAAGAGAAGGAAGTGGTGGTGGAGGTGGATGATGAGGAGGAGGAGGAGGAAGAGGAGGAAGTGGTGGTGGAGGTGGATGAGGAGGAGGAGAAGGAGGAGGAAGAGGAGGAAGTGGTGGTGGAGGTGGATGAGGAGGAGGAGGAGGCGGCCTGCAGTTTTGTTGCACCAGGGGCTGCAGACAGTGTCTGCTGGAGACAGAAGCAGAAGCCAAGGAGCCTGTGGGTCTTTGTTCAAGGAGGCAACGTCCATCCTCCCACCTGGCCAGAGTGGGAGGAGGGAGAGAAAGCCCAGGACCCCCTGCCTTGTGCAATACAGGCCTCAGGCTCCTGGGCGCTTCCTCTCTGGCCCAGGCCCACCTTTGGTCCGGGCCGTCCTCATCCCCTCTGGCACTGATCCTGCCCAGCTGAAGCCACACTTCACCCGGATACCTCTGTGCTCGCCAATACTCCACCCCACAGCAGCCAAGGGAGGCAGTTTCCAGCCTGTCAGACTTGGCCCTTCTCATCTCCAACCATCTGATCCTCCCAGGGACTGAGACACAGAGGGCGGAGTTCCAGAGGCCCTTGTGCTGGGCAGGAGGCAGGGCTGGGACAGGGAGATACCCAGAGTCTCTAGGGACCAGCACACAGCCCGGCCCAGCTGGGGCCACAGTCACTGAAGCTGCTTGCCCTGCAGTCCCTCAGTTTTCAGGGCTGGGTGTCAAGGCCAGTGCTGCTGCCTGGGAGCGAGTGAACGGGTTCCTTGCAGAGGTCCAAGGTCACTCCGGTGTGTCTCGCTGGTTCCCTTGCTCCCTGGCTGCTGTACACACTCACCCTCCTGTGCCCTTGGCCAGACAGCCAGCTCCCATTACTCTGTGCACACGGGCCCTGGAATCCAGGGCGCAGCTGGCGGTGACCTGCTCGGCTCCCTAACTCCACTTCCCTTCCAGCACCTGCTGGGCCCTGGGTTAAGTTGGGGGCAAGTCTCCGGGGGAGGTGGGCATAGCCTCCACTCCCAGACACATCTGGGCTTTGTTCTCAGCGGTGGCCCAGTTCCCCAGATGACCTGGGTGACGTTGAAGAAGGGCCCTGGCCCCTCCTGGCTGGTGGAGGTGGCTCAGGGTCAGGTGGGGACCATGGCTTTCCCACAGGCCCAGCCGTCCCTGGGACAGCCCTGGAGTCCTGATGCAGAAGCCCACTGGGGACTGTGTGCCCCCTCACAGCTTTCTGTGCTCTCTGCTGCTGCCCTGCCCTGTCCCCACCGCAGTTCCCGGGGCCGAGGAACAGGAGCACGGCAGACCTTCTGGTGACTCGCTGCCATCAGATTCCCAGGCAAGGGCGCCTCCGAGCTCCCTGGCAGGCGAGCCAGGAGAATGCAGCCTTTTCAGGCTCTGGCTGACTCCGGAGCGGCTCTGATCCCTGGAACTCCAGCTTGGCTTGTACCTCCTTGAAGGTGATGGCATTAGAGGCAGGGGCATGGGAGGGGCCCTAGCAGGGCAGAGCCAGAGGCAGTTCTGGGACTCAGGGGTTGCTGTGCCTTCTCTGCCAGGCCTAAAGCCACTGGAGTGTAGAACACAGACAGCCCCGCAGGCACAGCCCAGCCCCTCTCAGCTGTGGGTGCCGTAGGTGCTTGGCTGGGCAGACACTTGTGACGGGGGGCAAGTCAGGGCGGCCAAGCCCAAGCAGGCCCTGATGGCTTCAAACCCAGCAGAGCTTGAAGTGTCAGAAAATAAATCCACTGGGGTCAGCTGAAGCCATCCAGTTCTTGAGAACAGACTGAATCTGCTGTGTGACCAAGCCCCTGAAATACAGCCTGCCCCTGCCCCTGGGCTGGGCTGGGGCCCAGAGCTGACTCATCAGCACCCACTGCTCCCGCTGGCCCGAGGGTCCTCTGGGGTCCTGGTCCCAGGATGCACAGGTGAAGCTCAGCCTTGGGGGCTGTGACAGGCGTCCCAGAGCAAGCCCAGCTGTCCACCCTACAGGCTGCCACCTCCCTGCAGGCCCAGGCCTAGGCCCACGGCCAAGTCTGCTTCTTTCCCACACTGGCCAGAGGCTGACAGCTGGTTCTGGACTCCACATGCAGGGGTGGAGGCTGTGGAGTGTTCCCTGGGACAGGAAGCCACACGGGACCCTGTCTCTCCTCCAGGACCCCAGCCTGACAGGAGGTCTCGGTAGCCCCTCAGCTCTAAGGCATGTTGTCCTTGAGCAAGTCTGAGCAGGAGGCAGCGGTTCAAACTCAAGAGGCTCAGGGTGCCCCCTCCTAGGTGCTGCCTGGGGTCGGCCTCCTCTCCCACCCTCCGGCAGAGGAGGAGCAGTCCCGTCCACCCAGCCATGTCCAGAGCAGGACAGGAACACTGGTGGGCTGTGCTTGCACGTGCAGGTCACAGGTCTGGGGCCAGTGTGCTCCCAGGAGCCGGCGAGGACGGGGCTGGACCCTCCTTACCTGCATGGGACAGGGCTGGACCCTCCTTAACTACATGGGCCGGGGCTGGGCCCTCCTTACCTGCATGGGCCGGGAGCACATGTTGGTGAGCACCTCCTTCCGGGCCAGTGAGTACTTGTCATCTCCAAATGTTTGGGTCAGGCTTTTCTAGAAGCAAATCCCAGAAACCTGTGTGACATGTGGTCCAGCTCGGGGAAAGACTCAGGGCCCTGTCATCTGCTAAGTACCTCATGCCCAGCTCTCAGGGGGAGGAGCTGCCTGGGGGCTCAGCCCTGCTCAGAGGGGATGGGTGGGGAGAGGGGGCAGCTGCCCACAGCCTGTGGCCCACACTGGCCTGAGGTTAGTCCCTTCCATGTCTTGCTGACTGGCCTGGACTCACTGGGCTCCAGCTCTCGGGCCTAGTGCACCTGCCTTCCCCTCCCAGGGTCGGGCCTGGGTGAGATGTCTCCCTCCTCCAGGACCAGAGCCAAGGCCCTGGGTTTCTTAGCTTCGCCCCGGGCACGAAGCACCTGAAAGTACCCACCAGGAACATTCCCGGGATTCCTACAATTCCAGCCCCCACACTCTGAAAGCCTCTGGGCCCAAGACCAGCCCTTTCTGGCCACAGGACCCCTGCCCTCTGCTAGGCCTCCAGGGTCCCCGCTTGGCACAGTCCTGGTGAGGGGGCAAGTCCCATTGTCAGGGCCCCTGTGACTCAGAGGGGCCCTTCCTCCCAGGGCCTCCTTCCTCCTCTATAGGAGAGACCTGGCTGAAGGGGAGGGACTCTGGGGGGAAGCAGAGGCCCTTGGACCCCCCACCTTCCAGGTCTTTCTCTTCTTTCCCCCAAGCAGAGCCTCCCCTGAACACTGCCCACCACTCACATTGAGGGCTCCTGCGGAGCTGAAGTCCACGGGCAGCCCCATCTGGTCGCAGAATTCCACCAGGTCATTGAGCATCCTTGTCTGGGGTGGGGGGTGCCGGCGCAGCAGGGCCTGCTCGGGGAAGGCGCGGTGGATCTTGTGGGCCACTGCCATGTTGGCCAAGAGCATGAACTCCTCCACAAGCCTGCAGAGGGTGGGTGGGATGGGAGGGACCGCTGGGGTTGGGGGACAGCTGCTCAGGCTTTCCCACGCTGCAGCCTGCCTGGCTCTCTATCACCCTTCAGGTCTCAGCTTAAAGACGACCTCCCAGCTGCCTCATCTCATGTGTTCCACCAAGTCCCTGTCTTGCCCAGCACTCCCATGGTCTCTCCTGTACCAGTGGGTCTACACCGCCTTCTCCTCTGACTGGTTAGCTCCTGTGCTGGCTCTCCCAGAGGGGGACCCTGGAGACCAGGGAAGCACCTATCTATTAAATAATTCACCGCAGCAGCCCCAGAACTCAGCAGCTCACCCAATCCAGAGAAGGCGCCAAGAAAAGATCTCTGCTGAATGACAGGATGCCTGGAACCCTCGGGCAGCCCCGGCTATAAGAGGGCACCATGCTCGCCCAGGCCATGGGAACCCAGGGGCCCTGGCCCAGCCCCTGCTCAGAGGGCTCCCTGGGGCATGTGGCAGTGGTGAGTGGACCGAGGACCCCTCAGTCCCGGGAGTGCTGGGCTCCCTTCTCCTCTGGGGCTGGTGCCTTGTTGGAGGGAAGCCTCCCGACAGGGTCTCTGAGAGTGGACAGGATAGTCTAAGGCAGCAGGAGGGAAGCCCTCACCAGCAGGAGTGGGGATGGGCTGAGACCCCAGAGTCACCCTTTCAGGGGCTGCTGCTCTGGCTTTGCAGCACCTGGGTGTCATTAGATTCAGCAGTCACTGTGAATGGACGTGGCTCCTGATGGAAGGACTGAGCAGGTCAAGGTACCAGACTGAAGGAGCAGGGACTGATGGGCGATGCGGGACGTGAACCAGGCAAAGGCTGGGGGCCTGGTATCACACAGCACTGAGGTCAGTACCACTGTCCCTATCATCAAATCTGGGACAGGAGGCCCCTCCTTTGGTGGGACAAGAAGATCACAAATGTGCACAACATCTGGAGCCTGTTGTGATGGGCGCTTGGGCATGTCCTCACGCCTTGGTGACCAGGATCCCCTTCATGGGGAAAGCCGCTCCCTCGGGGAGACATGGGGTGATCAGGGCCTTGACTAGGCTGGGGGGACTCTGCCCTCCCTGCCTTTCCCCAGGCTTCATGCCCAGCCCCGAGCTTTCCCCTTGAGTGAGAGAGGTCAGGGAGGAAGCTCCCGCAGGCCTGGCCACAGCCGGAGCCCTGCCATCAACTTCCCTTCCTGGAGGTGTGGGTGGTGCTGCGGGTGAGCCTCATCATCTGGCCACGCTTGTGGAAAGCAAGCCAGCCAGAGAGAGAGAGCACCCTGGCATGCAGAGCCCCTCCTCCACCCAGGGTGGGCCTGCCAGGGCAGACGTGTGCCTGTGCTCCACCAGGATGTCCTGAGAGCACAACTGCCTCCCCAGGGAGCCCGAGCTGCAGAGGAAGAAGCGCTGGGAAATGCCCCAGGAGGGCAGGCACCACCTGGGGAGGAGGGAAGCCAGTCCAGCACCCCTAATCCCTCCTCTGTGGGGACTTTTTTGGGCTGGCTCATGACACACAGTAAAGCAGGTGACAGCTGGGATGTGTGACCACAAGGATCAAACTTCAGCCTACCCTTCTATCACATAGGATACCCAGCAGGTAAAAGGAGGAGCGTCCATGTTGCCCTCTGGGTGGCAGTAACTGCCTGTAATGTGCCACCCCACCTCCCAGCCCCTAATCTGTGCTTGTGCCCACCACTTCCTGCCAAAAACCCTGTGTTCAAGCCTTTAACCCACTACAAGTCTCCCAAGCCCAGGTCTGACTCTTAGCTCCACAACATCCTTGCCGTGGGATCCTGAACAAACCACAGAGCCCTCCCCATCCATCCTCTGTCTCAAATGCAGGACAGGGGTCACAATGGCACCTGCTCAGGGCTGTCACGGACGCAGAGAAAACAGGTTCTGCACTGGCAGGCCCTCTGCCCGATGCATGGAAAGCCCTCAGGATGCAGGCGCTGCTCTCCTGTTGCCCCACCTGCCCTCCACATGGCCAGCAGGGGGTCTCCACAACATGCCCTGTGATTTTCATCCCTACCATCAACTCTGTTCCTCAATTCTTTTGAAGCCTCCCCTGAAAAGTAGGCTGCAGTCCCCGACATGAACACTGACTGTTCTAGGCTCACCTGTATCACTGTCTGGTGCCATTAGACTGTTCTTACTTGGATTTCATAATAAGATATTGTGAATCCAAGAGGAGTCAAAATCCCTGCTTGAAAAATATCTAATACTGGTCAGGCCATCAGCACTGAAATGCTTCAGATGCACACAATCATGCATACTTTTGCCCTCTCACTCCACAAAGACTACCATGTGCCAGGCATGGTTCTGGGCTTTTCTCCCCATGCAGTCAGACAATCCTCCTGGGCAGGAGCATCCAGGCTATTGTGTGGTGCCTGCTTTCCCCTCCAGCCCAGCTGCAGGAAGAGGGACAAGTGTAGCCTTAGGCCCAACCCTGGGCTGCGTTTTGCAGTGTGGCCAGCAGGGGGCAGCATGACCCCATAGCGGGTTGTACTGAGGCTGCAGGCTAAGGAGGCCACCAGGCAGACAGGGTGAAGGAGCAGGGCTGTGCAAGGCAACCCTGGTTACTCTCCTATGCCCATGCCCCACCGACTATGGGTTTAGGAACTGAATATCTGGGGGCCTCTCAGGGCTGAGCCAGGCTCCTGCTCTTAGTTCCCGCAGGGGCTCTCCACATCCCTTCTCATGGTCTTCAGTAAACATGAGGACAAGGACAGAAGGGAGGGGACCCGGAGAGGGCGGGGCCACTGCAGAAGCCCCTGCCATGAACACAGACCTCAGGCAAGCTGCTTCCCTGGCAACTCTGCTACCTGTCCTCCCTGGACCCCAGCACAGTCCCAGGAGTCACCCCTGCCCTCGACAGTCAACAAGTGCACTCTTGGTGACTTGAACGTGAAGCCTGCTGAGGTTTTGGAGGAGAGGCCCACCGTGCCGGGGCCCTTGGTGTGGCTGAGTCTGCTTCTCTTGTGGTCTCAGCCTCTCCCTCCCTCCTGGGGCTGGGAGTCGGGACAGTGCCTGCGGAGCTCTGGCACAGCCAGTTGGGTCACATCAAGCAGGGACCCAGACAAAGATCAAGGGCACTGAGGAGGGAGCTGGCACCACAGAGTCCCCTTCCCAGGCACAGCCTTGGCCATGATGTTTGAGGCCAGCTGCAGGGGCTGTTTGTTGCCCTCATGTCCTTCTGATGCTGCAGGTAGCAGATGGGGGCGGAGTGAACAGGTGGGCTCTGGGTAGGAGTGAACGAAGGCGGGGCTGACCCCTGGTTCTGGTGGTGGCACCCTGGGGTGGCTGGAAGGTGGGTCCCCAGTGGAGTTTGCGGACAGAAAGGTGCAGGCCAAGCCCAGCTGCCAGCAGCCAGAGTTGCACCGAGTTCAGTATTCACCATTGCAAATGGGACTCCGCACCACGGCTCAGAGAACTGAGCTGGACAGTGCAGGGTGGATGGGGTAGGGTAAGTGCGGGTCAGGGTTCTCATCTGGGGTCAACATATGGACCACAGTCCCCAACCCTGTCAATTCCCTGATGGGCCAGGAGGTGGCGCCCAGCCTCCTCCTCCCCAAGGTCCTGGGATGGGGTAGCTCCAGCTTAGAGCCCAGGCACTCCTGTAGGAACCCAGGGCCAGAGATGGAGGCTGTGACAATGACCCGGTCAGCAAGGCCCTCTGCCCTGACCTCCTCCCTCCCTCTCCTGGGGAGCAGTGCTAGGTGCACAGCTTGGGCAGCCAAACCTCCAAAATGCCCCAAGCGATCCTGGCTGGTCAGGCCGCGCCGCTCCACACCCTGGGCCAGGGGAGCCCTGAAGGGGGCGGAGAGGGCACTGGGGCTGCTGGATGGGAGCGTACCCTGTCCCCTGCCCCGGCCTCAGACCTTCCTCCTCTGATGTGGGCACTGGCCCTAGTGTCACCCCGCTCCTCCCAGCGCCAGGGGCACAGGCATGAGATCACTGGGCCTGCTGGGGATGGGGCACTGGAGCTCAGGGACTGCCTGACAACTGCTCTCCGAGGGGCTGGGAATGGCTGCCAGCCAGCACTACCTTCCAGAACAGCAAGCCAAGGCCTTGGAGACGGGGCCTCGGTCCCAGACCTGGCATTGGCCGAGTGTCTGAAGCCCGCACCACCAGGGCCCCACCACTCTGGAGGTCTGGGGTGGGGCTGCGCTGTGACAGCGGCTGCAGGGCCAGGACCCCAGCTCCTCGTCACTCACTCCCAGCACCCCTCCTCCCTGGGTCTGGGCCTCCCTGGGGCAGGAGGGGACGGGAAAGGGAGGGTAGGTATGAGGCTTGGCGAGCCCCTCACATGCTGTGGCAGACAGCAGGGAAAGGTCACCAGCCCCCACACACGGTACACACTCCCCACAGCAAGGGTGACACTGGTAGACACACAGGTTCCCACAGCGCACAAGTGTTCCTCTAAAGAAAGAACATCAACATCAATACACAAAACGCGGGGCTCTTCATGCATTTACGACAGGGCGTCCTTCACCCTGAAGGTGCCCGCAAGCAACAAGATTATGCAGAGGCAGACACTGGGTGCCGCATTCCTGCTGGCTCGGGTGGGACCTGTTTCTGTCGCATCTTAAAGGACGATGCTGGGAAAGGCTGCTCTCACCCTGGTGGGGCCCTGCTGCAGCCAGGCACATTCTGCAGCTGTTTTTCTAGCTCCAAAGGAAGGAAGTCCCCAGAGGCTAGGTGGCCACATTTGGGCCCTCAGACCTTGCCAAAGGGAGGCCCAGTGGCTGTAATGGGCTCAGAGGTGAGGAGATGAGAAAGGGATGAAGCCATCTGTGCTTCAGAGGAAGCCTGCCTTCCCTGACCATCGAGGAACTGGATCTGAGTATTTCTCTGCTCAGCTGAAAGGCTGGGGCTGGGTTTTGATAGTCAGGGATCCGAGGCATCTGTGGCCAGGAAGGTCCTGACTGGTTGTAGGACCTGTAGGTTGTAGGGGTTGGGGGGTGTCCTTCACCTCTCCTGGCCCGGCCAT